CCACGAATGCAAAACATTATCCGTTTGGAAACATAATCACTATAATTGCTAACTCGTCCAACACAAATGTAACGCTGTTCTGCTGGCGAATACATTTCAATATTAGCACGTAAACATTCTGCGTTCGTCAACGTACTGGCGTCTGCATAGGTTATGCGGAAATGGATACGAAGTTCTTTGTAAAAATCTACAGCTAAATTTAATATCTTCTCCATCTGCTCATAAGCTTCCTCAGCTGTTCGTGTAGCTACAAACGTTTGTACAGCATTTGATTGTGTGGCAGTAAAAAGGCTATCCGGTAATCCGCTGGTTTTGGGCACAATTTCGTAACTTCTACCAGCCGCTACGCACGGTAATGGCAAAGACGTTGGATAAACCACTAAACGTGCAAAGGCTCCTAGGAATCCTTCAAATGTTGCGCCACCTGTAAGATATGCGCGATTAATTTCGCTCGGTTTATCCTCCTCTTGTACTAAGTGGTGGTGCTCTAGTGGTGTTGCACTTGCTTCCAGTAATACGAGACGTACAAAGTCCGGATTTGACATTTGCATGAAACCACCTTTCTCCACAAAGTAATTGGTTAAAGCTTGCATGCTGTATACATCGAATTCCGCCGGTGTCCCTAGCAGGTAATAGCGATCATTTTTTATAAAACGTATTAAGTCTTTTTTAGCCAAATGTGTGGGCTGTTGCTGCTCACAGCGCGCTGTAGGGCTGCGGTAAAGCAATTTTTCAAAATTGTTTTGGGGACATTCCGGATGCAAAGTATTTGGCAAACTTAAGAATGAGTGTACGAAGTCTTCTTCAATGGGGTAGCTTTGTGTTTTAAGTGTTTTTAAATGATTTCTGAGTTCCACACCAATCTGTTTTAGCTTCTCGATTTCATCTTTTGTTGCAGCACCCGCCTGAAAGGAATGAAAGGTAAATATTTGGTGTAAAAATAGAACTACAACGGAACTCACTTTAGTAATCTCTCTTAGTTTATTGGACACTGAATCTCGCTCAGCCTCTACTTGCTTTATTTGACTCTGCAAGCTATTAAATTTTTCATATTTTGCTTTTATTTCATTGAGGTTTATTTGCAATCCTCGCGCTTTTATACTATCCTCCAGGAAAGCTAAATTGTTAAGCGTTCCTTCGAAATCCATGTATGGCTGAAGAGGAGCATAATTCTTTTTTGCCTTGTCTCCGGTTATGTATAGCGCAGAAATGCTACGTCGAAAGGTGTAATATTTTGCTGTTGTTAATAAATGCCTTGCTGTGAATGTAGGTAAATGCACCATTTTTATTTTTTAAGCTAATCTAATTTCTTTTTTTTGACGCCAAGGTCTCACTCTTCTTTATAGTTGTAATTAATCTGATTTCAATACAAAATTCAATCGAATTTGCACCGGTATGCTTTGTAAACGTGCAGTTTCCACTTTCTTCGCCCGTTGTGAACCCAGGGCAAACAGCTGATTTTTGTTTATGCAATATGGCATTCCAGTGCTGCCATATCAGCTAATAAAAATGGTCATTGAATTAGTTAGGGGATTCATAAGCCGTTTATTTGTCGTATTTCAGCCTGGTCATAGCAGAATCGCAAAGAATGTAGAAAAAAGGTTCTTTCTTAACAGCGGTCGCCCCTCGGCGACCAATGGCAAACCCCCTCCGGGGAAACTTACCAATAAGGGCGGTGGGCAGAAGGGGAAGGGTCGTGTCACCTCCGACTCCCCCCTTTCTGGAGTGGTCATGAACCGCCACTGACAAAAATGCAACCCCCGATCACCTAAGCTTCTTGTAGGTCCCTAGGGACCCATTAGAAAAATGACCAAAAACTACAACTTTCACTTGCGTTTTCGCCGGTTTTAAGCAAATGAAAGCACTGATATGATACGTATTTGCAGATAATAGTTATTTACGTTGAACTGTCAAATGACCGAATGAAGAAGAGGCGGGTGGTTAACCCAACGAGCAATTATCCACAGCGTTTTTGGGAAGATCTTTCTGCGTAAGTGAAAATTTCCTTTCTGTGTTACGAAATAAAGGGGGCGAAACCCCTCCGCTATCCACGGTATTTTTGCACATAACTACTTTCTGCGTAGGCGGCCTTCGGCCGCGCTTAGGAATTATAAACCTTCCTAAGTGGAATTCTCCTTTCTGTGTTGCGAAAGAAAGAGGGCCGAAACCCTTTACGTAATCCACAGTATTTTTGCACATAACTCGTAGTAGTTCTTCGCAAAAATATTGTGGACAATTGCTCGTTGGGTTAACTACGCACCTCTTCTTCATTCGGTAATTTGACAGTTCAACGTAAATACGTAACTACTAGCTGCAAATTCGTATCGGTTTTTGATTTTGTTACATTGTTGTAATATTGTTTTTATTAAGGCTAATATAAACTTTAGCAATTAAATTATAAATTTTATTACAATTCCAAGTGTTTCCTGCGTTTTGATCGAGTCAGTGCCTTCGTTTGTTTAAAATCGGCAAAAACGCAAGTGAAAATGGTGATTTTTGCCCATTTTTCTAAGGGGTCCTTAGGGGGCCTAGGTGCTTGGCGGTTGCATTTTTGATAATGGCGGTTCTGCCATGAAAAACAGCTTCTCATAAATATACAATCGTCATTCGGAGTCGGAGTAAACGGTCCACAAATCAGAGCAGAAGCTCAGCCAAACACTAAAATATATGTAAGCGCCAACCTATTATTATAATTATATTTTTTAAATAAGTCAAATGCACTTATATCATCCGTTTTATAAAAGGTCATTTGGAAAGTAATTTTCAAATTTATTTAGTTCGAGACTGGTAATTTATTATTGAGTTTGAGACCGTTTTAAATGGCAAATTTAATGAAAAAACAACAATAACTTACAAATAATAAAAGATATTTGTCAACCGAGTTACAACGAAGGGAATTGATGTTATCTTTAGCTAATAAAAAATGTTATTAAAAAATCTTATTAATTTAAGTTAATTAACAATTAATTAAAAATTGTAATGTCTATGAAAGCCCAACAAACAAATCCTTTATTAGCGTGAATCGCATCCGGAAACATGCCATCAGCCGTTTTTCTACTGGAAATTGTTGTAAGCTCAAATTTTTCCAATATAAATTTGCATCTTCCCCTTAAAGCGAACTGTTACTTAGCTCCCTCAATTTTCTCTACTTTTCAAGGTCTGTGGACAAGTGAACACCTTAGGGCCGGTTACTCAATGTCTGGTTAACACTAGTCTGCGGTTAAACAGCGTTAACATTATATGCTACATGAACAATCATATAACTGCGTTGCCGTTCAGGACAACTTGGTTTCAATTTATTGGAAAGAAATTTTGATTTTATTGCCTAACTTTTCTTCGGTATGGCAGCACGAAAGAGATCTAAATATAACTAGGGAGAATGATCATAACAAAAAGGAGAGTAGATTTCTTGCTCTGCTGCCGTTCAAATACGCGCTTTGACAAAACCCGGCTGACTGCCCGGCTAGCTCAGTCGGTAGAGCATGAGACTCTTAATCTCAGGGTCGTGGGTTCGAGCCCCACGTTGGGCGACTTCGATTTTGTTTTTATTTGCGATGTATTTTTTATTTATATTTAAAAAAAACAAAAAACCCCAATAATTATGACCGAAACTCAAATGTTTTTTTTTATTTAATATGAAGTACAATCGATAGGCTTACATTTTGGATATAACATCAACAAAGCTGACGATGATAGTTTAGCTAGATTAGCTCAAATCACAACTTTGTTTATACGTCTGCTTCAAATGGCAACTACATAGTCAGTATTTTGTTTGCATGTTTGAGCGTAAATTTTTCCAGTTTTTAAAAATTTTTAGATTTATGGAAAAACGAATTGTAAACTAGTAATTTAAAAAAAAAAAAAACCCGACTTCAACTCTCATATAAAAAAAAAATATATATATATATATCTCATGATCCGCTGATCGGATCTTAACCAGATTAGTATGGGACCACCTCTGAGACACTACCTTTCCGANAAAAAAAAAAAAAAAAAAAAAAAAAAAAATATTCCGACGAACTGATAACCTCCTCCTTTTTTGGAAGTCGGTTAAAAATGATGTAGGAAAACCTAATAGAAGAAGCACAAAAGTAATAAGAAATAAAAGAACACTTACGAATTTTATTATTTATTATTATTTAATTGCATTGTGTTTGTCCGAAGAAGCCTTAGAAGCCAGTCATAAAAATATAATGGTAATGTGCGACTTTCCCATAAAAGAAAAATGACGAGAGATTCAATAGCTGATTTGTTATAATGTCGGAACCGGAACTATCATCACTTAGGTCTACAGAAAAAAGAAGGAATTTGAAGAAATTTAGATATACATTTTAAACTCCAATATTATAAAATACATTTAAAATAAATTATCTTATTTATTGAGCAAATTTAGGAAATTTCTTATTTAAGATCCTTTTTAAATAAAATATTAAATTATAAATTTTTTTCAATAACTAAAATTCATAAAGGAGTTAGTCATTTCCTGATACCGAATGAAACGATATTTGCCAAAGAGTTAAAAAGTTGGACTTTATAAGCTTTCATTAGTTTTTAGTACATTCTGATCACAATATATAGCTAAAAACTAATTTTTGAGAAAAAGGATGTATGGGTCATGTCCTTGAACCGAACGAAACGAAATTTGCCACAGAGCATAAGATCACAATTTCACAGACAGCTACCAATTTTCGCTTTATTTTGCTTATAATTGTAGCTAAAATTAAGGATGTACGTATGGGAGATAGTTATGCCCGTGCACCGATATTGCCGAAATTTCGATTTTTTCTTAAATTACATATTCTGAAGCAGTGTACCAGTGTTTTTTCACCATTTGGGTTATTTAAATTCCAGTGTAGAACAGCAAAAAATACACAATTCATATTTCATTGTTATGACACACAATGGTTAACCGTTATTCAATTTACTTTTACTCAATCATAATTTAAGTAATAAACGTCAATATATTTTATATGCGTTATTCACTTTTGCATTATTTACCCGCAAAATTTTTGCACTCGGTAGACCGCGACAACAGCATTTTTCACACACTCATGCACAGATATATGTATATGAATGTGTATATACCTATTAGAGTGTCCCAGAAAATAAGGGGATTTTTTTTTTTTGGAAATCAGGTAAATTTTCTCTTTTTGGTTTTATCAAGTGAAAGATGTTAAAAAAAAATAAATCCTTCGAAATGCGTATATATGTATGTTTGTATTTGTGAAAAATATTAGGGAAACAAAAATTTGCACACACATTAGAGTTATACCCTTACATGAAATGTATCTAACTATAAGTTAACTTGAAGTTGATTAGGGGGGAACTAAAGGTCACTATTATCTGTATATTTTCTCTGAAGAAGGCTAACTACATATATTTCTATGGCGATGGCCGCGAAATAGTCACGGGTGGTTACCCCTGCATTAGAAGTCAACTAACTGGCAACTAACTAATTTTGCGCATAAAGTATCAATAAAAAAGAAACCAATATTTATTTAATTTGTTTACTTATTTATTTATTTCATTTATTTAGTTAACATTACATATTATACTATAGTCTATAGGTGGTACCATATTCGAATTCTTTTTCTTTTATCTGTTCTCAATTTGAAAAAAGTATTTATGAAGTTCAGAAAGAAATAATACTCAAAGTAAAATTTGTATGAGAATATTTAAAAAGAACCTTGTTTAAAGAAAACAATCACCCGATTACGTCTGCATTACTCCTGCACTACTTTTCAACTAATTACAAGTTAGCTTTTTAATCTATTTTACAGAAATCCCGCAAAAAACCTAACTACAAGTTGATTATTTTTTATCGATTGATACATTTTTCTGCAGAGACGAACTTTATTTAGGCCAGAAGGAAAATATATGGTTGTGTGCATAGAATTCGCAGGGACAACCTAATGTACATTTATACATAGCATATTAAGGTGAGACAAAAAATATATGTTTATTCGAATGTATGTATGATTAAATATGTATGTATATGTTTTTAAGTATCCATGGAATGCAGCCGTATTCTTGGCACTTCACGATTGAGTTTAAACCGCTAATGGATTTACATACATGCATACTTAAACATATATATGTATATATAAATATGTATGTATGTAGGTTTCTGAGTTAGCGAAAATACGTATGTATGCATTACATGTATTTTCGTGGTATTAAAATCCACGGTTAAGCTTGAAATGCCCATAGGGCTTTTGATATATCTACATATGTACATTAGGGTGGTCCAAAAACAGTAAAGTCAGAATTGTAATGCTCTCACCCCGTAGGATTTTGAAAACAAAAAAATGTTTAGAGGTCGCTCAAAGCGCTCAAAGTTTACCATATATTTTCATATAACAAAACAAAAAAAAAAACAATTTTTCGTAGGAATGGTGTAAATTCAATATTTTTCGATCGGAAAGCCC